TGGTCGGGCGGTCGTCGCGAGCGCTCGTCCAGCGTCGTGCTGCTGGGCAAGCTGTCGGCCATCGTGCGACGTGGCAGTGTATTCCAGGCCGAACCAGAGGATTCGCGGGGCAGCAGCAGCAGCTTCAGCAGCAATAACAGCGAGGAAAAGGAGAGCGACGACGACAGGGCAGCGCGGTGTCAAGAACGGCACGCGCGGCGCCGCAGTGTCGGCGCGACGCCCTCGATGCAGTCGAATATGACCATGTGGGATCCCAAAACTAACGGCCGAGGCACGAATCAACGGCTCCAGTTTTATCCAGCGCGGCCACTGGTGGCGGCGGCGTTGGCAAAGCCGTTGAGTCAGGCGGAACTAATGCGGAGAGCGACGCTCGAAGCGGAAATGAAGGACTTTGGTGCTGTGCACGCTAGGTTCGCACCCTCGTCGTCGCCTCCGAACGACCAGGAAGATAAGAAAATGTTTAAGAAGGATGTCAAAGAAGTCAGGCACATGGACAACAATGAGCAGGAGCATTTGGAAGAGGAGGAACGGCGTGCGCACAGTACCGAGGAGGAGCTGGACGAGGAGTTGCTGGATTTTGACTCGGTCAACATGCCGAGGAGCGTGCGCAGGTTAATGAGCAGGATCATGAGCGAGAGCCTGATGAGCGAGTCGGACGTACCTGAAGATATGTCGAACCAGGACGATGACGATGACGATGACGACGAGGAAGACGATGACGATGACGATGAAGACGTCGATCATGTTGATGACGTGGAAGAGCTCGAGCTGGACGGAGATAACTCTGAACAGGACGAGGAACGATCCAGTAGCGAGCAAGAAGAAGCGGTAATTCAGACGGAGCTAGATGTGATGCAAGAGCCGAGTCCCTCCAAGCACCTGCTCCTACAGCGTCGACAAACTCGACTACTGAGCTGTGCAGCTGAACAAGCGGCGTTGTCAGCACAGGACCAACTTACGTCGAGTGTACGACGGCTAGTGATCCAACTGAAAGACGACTCGGATCATCTGGGTAAACCATTGGCCCAATCTCATGGAATCCGCCTCAAGTCGAGGCCTGCCCCGACCCGGAGGAGAGCTGGATCATGTCCGACTGCATACGACCTTGGCGTGCCGTCGCCGATCGATGGGTCTTCGATGCCGACACCTCCTCCGTTTAGCCCCGCGCTGGCCCCGCAGGAGATGCATCCTGGCAAGAAACACAAGAAGAGCGCGTTCTCGAGGATCGGTCCGCGTGTATTGGAGTCTCTCCATTTGCGGAAGAAGCGTAAGACGTATTTGTTCACAGACGAAGAGCTCGAGACGATCGAAGGTGCACGGTGGAAGATCGTCGAGTTGGCCTTCCGCTTTGGTGGCAAGCATCGGTCGTATCTGGTGCAGGCGATCAATATGTTCTTCCCTCTGCTCAAGTACGGACGGCGTGGAGGTGCGCATGCCACCAGACTGCATTGCAATTGTTGTGGAACTGTGCAGTGGCAGCATAAGCGCGGAGGCCTTAGTGAAGCCGTCGATTTGGCAGAGGTACTGCAAGTGCTGGACGGCAGACAGACCGCTGTGTTTCGCAAGTACCCTTCCAATAGTGTCCTTGAAGCGTGCTCTTTCTCGGTTGTATTCCGAGGACGTACACTGGATCTAGAGACACAGAGTTCAAGTCATCGAGACTGGTTGGTGAGTGCGCTACGTACACTTGTAGCCTATGCAAGGCGTCAACGACGCATGGAGCAGCAGGCTATTGCTGAGCGAACAATACTCCCGCTGGAAGACGATCTGTCTGATCTGGTGCCTCCCATGCCTTTACCCGCACGAGCTGCACCCTTGTTGTCCCCAGTTGCAGCGCAAACAAATTTGCGGTTGGATGAAGCGCCCGTCATTCCTCCCAACTATAAAATCCGGAACGTGTACTAGCTCGACTGCTAAAACGTGTGTAAGATAAATGATACAAGACAATAGTGATAATACAGTGAACACGATGCCAACAAGTACTTATAAACCAGTACTGCACACGCACTTGCACTCAAATAGCGGCGTCACGGAAAGCTGCACCGTCAACGGCTTTCTTGACGTCGTTCAGTTGCACAATCGCATCAACACGGTTTGGAATCGCATCACGAGACAAACGCAGATATCGCTTCAGGATCCCAATTGACGCGAGCACTTCTTCTGGTCGCGGACAGGGCTCATCAGCGACGTCTTCGAAGGTTTCGTATGGTCCATTTGCATGGCTTTCGTCGTCAAGCCGTTTAGTAGATAAGTATCCGTGCTTTTGGAGAACGCCGCGGATGATCTGAACCTCGTCGATTCCAGGATCAGTCACAGAAGCGTTGCCTTCGAGATCAACAAACACCTGAGCATTCGCAGGCTCAGTCACGCCAATCCAGCGTAAGAAGTCAGGAGCAAGTTGGGCGATACTACTCAACTGCTGCTGCAGTTCGCGATATAATAGCGTTGGAGATGGTAAACTTCCGTTGCCCACCAGCGACGACCCAGCACCATTGAGTGAGCCGGTAGGAGATACACCATACACTCCAGTCGCATCAGAATGTACGCTGCCGTTGCCACTGTCTGTACCGCTGCTGGGAGAAGAACCGTTGGCGCTGTTGCTCAAGATGATACGCAAGTTGAGCGACGCAATAGCCTGGGTGGGGAGCAACCCACTGCGAACCCAGCAACTCTGGATTAGCTGCTTGTCAAGACTGTGAAGAGCCACGTAAAACCAGTGGAAAACGTTGCGAGTGTGCAAGTGGCGCTGAGGGTGAAAGCCACGAGGGTCTTGGCTCATCAAACTCTGTCGATAATTATTGAACAGCGTTTCCACCATCTCACCGCGGAAACGTGCCTTGAACGCTTGAATCACGCCAAGATGGCAGGGGTGAAAACGTGGAGCCTTGAAATTAGGCGGCAAGAAGTAAATCTGAAGATGATCGTACACAAAGAACGTGCGTTGGTCTCCCTGCGAATCCAAAATCATAGCAGCCTTTACATGAGGCACGGCCGAGTCCAAAATCACTCGGAACGTGCGTTTACGTTCCTTAGCAAGTGCATTCAACGACTTGAGCATGCTCACAGTCGTCTGTGCCACCTGCCAACCAGTCTTCGAATATCCATACTGAATATTGAACGTCTCCTTGGTGTCAATTCCTTCCAATAGCAGCGGGTTGCGGTCCGTACCAATGACTTGCAAATCGTGCTTCTCTCCAGCAGCACTCACGAACAGTGAGACCGTGTACCGGCCATTGTTGCCATTGCCACTAACCGACTCAGACACCGGTGGCTTGTACATGACTGCGAACTCACTGCCCGTCCAAATATCCTCAATATCCACATTATTAAAAGCGTGGTGTAGTTCTCGGAGTCTCGTCTGGATGTCCACACTCTTGATAACACTCTGATCTCCTCCTCCAGGCAGCTGCTTGCTGCTGAACGAGCCGAATCTGGTCCTGTATCCGTCTAGCCAGCCATTGGAGCCCGTGAACTTCTGCAATGCCTGCTTCACCTTGTCAGGTAGCGCTGCATAAGGCTCTTGAACAATCTTACAGGCCAATTCCATGGCCTTATGCTGCAAAACGGTGCCAGTGAGCTTAGTATCGGGACTGGAAACCTTCACCTCCATTCTCCACTTATGCAAACACTCGTCCAGCACCCGCAGATCATACGTGCACTTGGTGGTCTTCCGTTTCTTCTTTGTAGCGTCAGCCGAGTCTGTCTCGGTGCGGATGAGGTCCTCCTGTCTGCAGATATTGGTGATAGTGGTGCGTCCTACACGGAACTTTTCAGCTAGCTCGCGGTGCGTGAACTTCTTACTGGCTGCCAGGTCTACCACCTCGCGCTTCTGGCCGAGCGTCAGGCGCATGCGGCGCCCGAGTGGCAGTCCTGACGTGCTGGACGCCGCAGGGCGCGCAAGATCATCACTCTGCTGCGGAGGTTGGATAGGAGAGTCGGACACGAAGGTGGGCAGTGTGGCATCAGGAGGCAGGAGCTGCTGCTGCATCTGCTGCATCGGGGCCCGCGGGTGCTTTCGCCCTGTGACCGGCGTGACACTCAAGTCTTCTGCCATGTGAGACGCGTCCAGAGTGCGGGTGACCACAAAAGGGAGGTGTCGGTACTTTGGATTTTGACTTGGTTGTTGTAGAGAGGGAAAGAAGAATTCGTAGGTACCGGTACACATAACGTACACTAATGATGTACTGTACACGAGTTGATAAACTCGACGTCAGTCCAACCAGCATGAGTGGCAAGGCCAGTGCGTCAGTGCAGGCGGCCTTCGAGCTCTTCGACGACGACAGTAGCGACGAGGAGACGACGACACCGCTTGTGACACCTCATGAGGTCGTGCATATCGTTCCTACGGCTTCTACTCCTTCTCCTGCTGCGAAGGAAGAGCAGAAATCTACCACTGAAGTCACGCGTAGTCTGTACGAACCTTGGGACGACGTTAAACCGCTGGCGGTGGGCCCTATCGACTTGGTGACGAGCTTCAACAGCGTCGGAGGGTCTCGAGGTTATGTGGCCACGAGAGATTTAAAACCGGGAACGCAGGTTCTGGTTGAGCAGGTGTATGTACCATGGCCGAGTGATGTGGAGACGTCCGACCCTGAGTTCTTCTTGGCCACGATGGAATCAGTGCTATCGCGACCAGACTATGCTGAAATCATGGAGCATTTGAGCCATCTATACCCTGAGAAGCTCAGTGAATTGCCCGAGGGGCTGCTCTCTGCAGGCCGAGAGAAGTACGGCCCCCAGGTGGACGAGCTGAGCAAGAACTTCAGCGAACTAGCACTATCACACGACCAGGTGCTACAGAACGTGTTTGCTATGCAATGCAATGCCTTTGACAGTGGCGTGTTTTTGTATAACGCCATGTTTAACCACGACTGCAACCCGAACTGCGTCAAGTTTACGCCAGAAGGTGCTGGTCCCGAAGGTGGAGTGTCCGAGGTGCGGGTCGCGCGACCTATCGCCAAGGGCGAACAGCTGACGATCTCGTACTTGTATCCACGTGAGCAGAGTCGTGAGAACAGACAGAAGAATTTATGGGAGCAGTTCGGATTCAAGTGCTGCTGTGAGCTTTGCAAGCGAGGCGACAGTGTGCTACATCCGCTTCCGAGTGCAACGGAAGACAATGACGGCACAAAGCCTGGTATGCCGGACTTGGAGAAGGTGCTGGTTGGAGCAGAAGAGATTATCAAGACAAACCCCGAAAGTGCTGCTGATGCGCTGTCCGTGGCATTGGAGACGCTATCAGATGCACTGGAGATCGTGGCGCACGACCACTTGGTATTTATGCGTATCCACAAACTGGTAGCAGACTCATGCGACTTACTGCTGCGTGGTAAGACTGAGCGTGTATGCGAGTACTCGATCCTGTTCCTGCGTAGCAGTTATGAGCTGCTCGAACTGCAGCGAACGTACCTGAACCCGGATCATATCGATCTCGCTCGTACGCTGAACGACGTTAGTCAGGGCATCCAGTTGCTGCTTTCCTACGACCCGGAGGTGCTGCTCACGGAGTTTCCTGAGTGGAAAAACTTCCGCCAAGCCTCTGTCGTTGAGAACCAGTATCGCCAGGAGTATAGACGACTAAAGCGGATGTACGAATAGAGGTGTCATTGCGCTTGTTAGTGTCGGGTGTACAGAGCAATCACAAGTAGAAATCCGATCTTGTTATCTGTGCTGGTCTCAGGCTCGCTTCGTTAGCGTTGCGCAGGTGACACTAGCGGGTGCTTTTAATGCTGCTTTTGAGTCTACAGGTAAATTGCAGAGCCTTAACTTTGTCCGAGAAAAAGAGCGTGCCCTCTTACAGATGAAGCTTGCTCAATTGCACGTTCAAACTTCCCAGCTTCCATAGGACAACGCGACCGTCAAGAGCTTCAGTAAACATCATCAGCATAATAATTAGCATATCGCAAAACATAGAATTCATCAGCTTTTGTGCGAGTCGTACCCGAGGTGGAGAATTCCGTGACACCACCAGAGGCGGATTTGGCGTAAGGCTGAATGCATGTGATGTTGCTCTCATGTTTCCTGCAGCGCAGTATGAAATGTTAGTAACGAAAAATAGTCCTTGGACTTGGTCGAACGTACATCCACAGCATATTCTTATCGTGCTGAGTGGCATCAGACGACTGGCCTCGCGTCACCTTGCTTTCAAACAAGCTCCGAGCTGCATTAAAACACGCGAGACAAGTGAGTATCCAGTTGCAGTCAAGCCAACAGTTCTGCTCTTACCAGCGTTGAAGCCACCGGCGTTTTTCTTGACAGCACTCTCAGTCGGCTTCTTGTCGACAAACTCAGAGAACGACCTAGATATTATGGACTTGGTTAATCCAAATACAATGATACATTACACATTCGTGAAATACGTACCAGAAGTTGTTGGCGTCCTGGGAGAACAGCAGAGGGTTGAAGTCGTAGCCAACTCCGACAATCGCGGAGTTCGACAGGAACATAATGCGCATCAGCGGGAGGTGCGAGAAACGGATCGACTGTACCCAAATCCACAACATCAGCTACCATACTTGTGCACAAGAAAATTCAACCCACAGTACCTGAATCGTAGGGTATTCGCCAGGTGCCCCAAAGTGAACGATGTGAATGGATGATCCTTGGCCGGCGAACGCCAAGCGGTTGCCCTTGGGGGACCACCCGACAGCGTTCACCCACGCGCTGGCATTGTCGAACTCTGCCAGGGGCTCACCGAACGGCGGCAAGGCTTCAAACGGACCGGCATCAGGCTGCCCGTCGATATCGCTGATGTACGCCGAGAACACGCGGCACTTGAGGTCCGTGCTGCCAGTCACTAGCAACTGGCTGTTAGGGTGCCAGTCCAAGTCTGTCACCCTACAGGTCATAGGCTCAGAATCCGCATCCAAGCTCAATAAAAATCCCAAGTTGAAGCTACGTACGTGGACTTGTGTTTCTTGATGATCTTGCTGACCCACCAGTTCTCCGCCGCCTGGTAGTAACACACGGACACGCATTTCGCACCACTACTCACCGCGAACTTCTTGCCTAAAGTCAATAGCCGTTAGCACTGTATCAACTCCCTCGTCCAGTTCTGTTCTTACCATCAGGACTCCACTTGACATTTGTGGCAGCGCGTGTGATGCGCAGCACCACGAGCAGCGGCTTCCACTGACGATAGGCGGCCTCATACTTCCACACAAAGGCGCTGCGATCATGAGAGCAGGATACGAGCTGGTCATGCACAGGCGACCAGTCTAGGCCGCACACGAGCATATCGTGCTCTGTGAGCACAGCCTCTTTGCGCCATTGCGACGGATCCGGCACGTGGCAGCCCGAGTAGATCCAGATCTCGTTCGAGTTGGGGCATATTGCCAGTTTGGAGCGGTCCTTGTTCCATGCGTGGCACGAGATGCCGTCCGCTAGCTGGAAGAGATTCGCGTCGCCCCCTGCTACCATAGTGCAAAATTGTCTTGCTGTTTGTATCAACTGACTCCCTTTTGAGATTGATCTGCTTCGACGAAGGGATTATGGTCTCGATCTTGTAGAGGGGGAAATGTCTCCTAGATCTCTCTACAAGAACAACTTCAACTATGATGTGGCACACCACGCAAATGGTGTGCCTCACCTCAAATGCACTTAAAATTTGAATCGCCACGGCGCGCGAGGAAAACGTTTATTCTCGACGTGCTCAAGCGGCTCCGCGACGCAGGTTCGCATGGAGTCGTGGGACAATACCACGGACCATATGGGGGGTCCTTATCCCGAAGAGATCCTGCTCGAGGCGTACAACTTGGAAGTGCGTGCGTTTTCCATGTAGACTCCGAGATATTAGCTTTCTAACTTATGCTTATTCTCAATGCGGTGTACAGTGGGAGTCCATCGAGCTGCGGTGCCAGCGACTACAGAAAACATGGCAACAGCTCTTGCTGGGAGAGGAAATGGAGATGGAGGAGCTGAGGTACAAGCGGCAATTGCGTAGACTGAAGCGACAGGAACAGGAGAAGCAGGCACGAGAGCAGGCCGAGCGTGAGCAGGAAACGAAAGAAGCTTTGTATAGGGAGAAGCAGCGGGAAGAAGCAGAGAGACAAAAGAAGGTGAAGCAGGTGGCGGCTAGCGGAACGCAGACGGATGAAGAGGAACCTGTGTCGAGTAAGAAGAAGGAGGCCAAGACAGCTAAAGCTAAAGAGGCGAGAACAAAGACAGTCAAACGTAAAGAATTGAAAACCAAGATGCAGCCTACGCAGAGTCAGAAGACGAAGCCAGCACTGCCGAAGAGGATTACACCTATTAGTTTACCGTCGGCGCAGCCCGAAGAAGACTCCGTTTCAGAGAACCAGAAGGGTCTCGAAGGGTATGATAGCCCCCCGCCAGAGCTACCGAACGATGGACTCCTGAGCATGTTGTCGCTTGACAAGGATAGCGACTCGGACGATGATGACGAGCCGTCTATGGTGAGTCTGATTCTGCCGGTCGCTCAGGAATCTCCTAAGCGAGTGCAGAAATCACCGGTGAAAAAGAAGACAATTACGTCTACGAAACGATTTGCGAAGAGGAGGGGAGGTCCGCCACTAGATTTTAACTTTACGAACGCGGAAGCGAGGAGGCAGACAAAACTTGCGGGGGTTGCTACTCAAGCTGAGCAGGAGGAGAGCGACGAAGCAGAGGCTGAACCCGAGCCAATGCCCGCATCGACACCAAAGAAGCGTCTTAGACGTCGAAAGGACCTGAAAGAAGCCGTATCGAGAGCGATGAGCTCGATGCCGGGTACGGCAAATACCACGATGGCAGTCAAAGCAAAGGAAGATGACATAAACGCTGTAAAGAATGATGCCAAAACAACTTCAGCAGGCAGCAATAATATGCGGAAAAAGACTGTGGGGAATAATGTTGGCAAGGATACGCAGTCTAAGACGAAGTCGAAGTCTGCAAAGACATCTGGAGAAGGAGATTCTACGATCCCGCCAACAAAGACGAAGGTTAACGGGAAAAATGAGAAGATGTCCATCAAGCAGCGATTGGCGAATGCTGAGCTGCTTGCTCGAATGAACAAGGTGCAAGATATGAGCACTCCAAAAGTGTTGGGTAAGAATACCAAGAAGGGCCAGAAAGAAGAAGCGGCAAAGATGTTGGCGGCAAAACGAGCAGAGTTCCGGAAGGTGTTAGCGAGTGATACAGCGGAGTTAGACGCACCCCGACGCGACCAAATGATCGAGGAGGGAGATTTGAACATCAGCTTGAACAGCAGTGGACTCATTAGCGATAATGACTCACCGGAAAATGTACGAGCCCCAACGCGAAAGAGACCAAGGGGAGCGGTAGAAGGAGACGTGACGCCCACCAAGAAACTGCAGTTCCTAGAGATCACGAAGCGTTTGGTCAAGTCACCGATGCCACGATATCTGCGGACTCCAACCCCTCTGGTGTCTCCAGTGGTCGCTTCGGGCCCCACCAAGCAAAGGGCTGCGTCACCAGGACCTCGTAGCGCAAGTATTCGCCCCACAGCTGCACCTACTACACGTCGACTGAATTCAGCTCCGATTCGACCGAAGAAGACTACCAAAGCTAACAGTTTTGGCACTCCAGCAGGTGGTGTTAATGCTGCCGCAAATGGCGGTGGGTTCTCCATGTTCGACGCTTTTGTCAACAGTGGTAGTAATGGATCGATTCCAAGACTGAAAACGAAGGCTCGAGGTGGATCACCGTCAGTATAAACCAGGGTGTTCATAGTGTAATATACCAACCACGACGTGAAATTAGTTGTATCAATAAAACTCAGTGTTGATGCTGTGAACTCAACTTGAAAGCACCTGAAAATACTAAAGTCGATCACACTGCGTCTATTGAATTGAGTTCGATCAACAGATCACACAAGAGACCAATTTTAATTCTCAAGCGTCTCGGCGTGGAGCTGGTTGATCACATCAACCGAATCGACGTAGTGGTCAGGCACGTGGAGGGCGTTTTCGATGCTGCCCAGCTCCGATTCGTGCGTGATTCCAGTCAGCACCAGCAACGTGTGGAGGCCACCAGCATTGCCAAACTCGATGTCCGTCGAAAGACGGTCACCAACCTATTTGTGAAATTGACACGGAACAAGCTCAGCGCAGGTCACTAAGTATTGCAAATTGCAGCTTTCACACCATGCACGTGCGCGAGGGGTCCAACTTGTACGTGGCAACAATGGTCTGCAGCAGATCTTGCGAAGGCTTACCGCACACGGCTTCAGGGGGGCTATAAGCATAAATAATAACGCAAATGATAAGCATGCGTGCACTAAGAATTACAAGACAACACAAAATTATACGTACTGGCCAATAGAGCACTCCAGCATGTGAACGAGGGAGCCTCCGCCCGGGATAATGGCGCCATCCGTCGGATACGTGGAGTCACTGTGTCATAATGGAAAACAATTGTAAAAGATGGTCAAGCGCATCGCTTGAACGAGCAGAAACTTACGGGTTGGTGCCAATGAAGTGGCAGCCAGGGATCTGACGCACACATGCCGTAGCGTACGCCATCTTGTAGTAGGTGAAGTATCTGCAGAATATCACGATGTCAGAAAGACAACGTTAGTACTGTTGCTTGAGAGGACGCGGCGTCCAAATAATTTCAATACCTGTCCAAGCCACAGACAACCGCCTTCGTCTCCATGTCGATATCCGGCACGTGCGGGAGACCCTTGATGTCGCTGTGCTCCAAGCCACTGACCTTGTAGCCCTCCAACTCCAGTTCGGTCTTGAGACCGGCCTCACCGACGATGTACACTTTGCCCTCAATTTTGTGCTGCTTCATGTACTGCGCCGTAGCCCACGCCGAACTATAGTTTAACAAACAGCCGCCAGCATGTTAGCTTGGATGATCGCTACGAAGATTAGCAATGCATAACTCACGTGACGATGTCGGCCTCGACCGCGGTGATGCCCTGCGACGCTGTAGCACATCAAAACTCCCCGTTAGCGTCTAAATCTCTCTAAATCCACCCAACTCCAATATATTGGCACCCACCGAGTTTCTTCACGTAGGTGGCACGGCTGTTAGTGGCGTTGTTGGTCTAATAAATCAAAAGGATCGTTCCCATCACATCGTCAGTCTCGACTTGTATCCAAATAGCAGCAGATCCACCTCACCACAAACACTACGCGCTTGTTGAGCGAGCGTAAAAGGTTGATCATATTGGCAGCACCTTCAATCGGGGCAGCCCCGCGCCACAATACTGTCATATCATAATCTCGTTAGTACCTGCGTGTCAATGACGTCACGGTCTCAACACAGTCACCGTATGCGTACCTCCATCGCAGTCGAAAAGGAAGGCGTCAAGTCCCTGGATCCATTGCTTGAATGAATCGCAGGCGAGACGCTGGGTCACTTTCTTCGTGGTGGCCATTGTGGGAACTGGGGGAACTGGAGCTGGTCGTACGTAAGCTTAGCTGATTGCTAACTGAAATGCGAAGCATTTTGGCATGGATGTAAGGGTAACGGTGCTAATATGATAAACTGTAGGCCATACTGAAATCAACACTTTTCGTTGCATTGGCACATGTCACATAATAAAGAGTACCGTGACATCTTCATTTTAGACCGAGTCGGTCTATTGCAGTTTTCAAGCTCCAAAATTGCTGTCTACAAAATCTCCAGCTCATTCTACTGCAGTTCTACATGCATATAACGCAGCTCTATGGTATTTCTACTGAGGAACCGCCCAGCTTCCGAACTGACTCAGACGAGCATCGATGCGGGCAACAATCTCTGGGTCAAACCCTTCGATTCCGTTCTTGTCTAGAATGGCGAGCTCCTTTGTGGTCAAGTATACCACATTGTCCGGGTCCAGTGGTCGGTCCGTTCGCCAGCGAGCCAAGTACAGGCGGTCGTGGCCACCATTACGCGCTCCACTCACAGAGCTACGTCCACGCCAGATTTCCTGGTACACGAACTCAATCTCGTCCTTCTCCAGCTCGATTTTGTGGCCTTCGTGGAACAGCACGTGTTCACGTTGTTGCAACTTCTGGTACAGCTTGTTGCGCTGGTCACGTGACAGTCGTGCCACCGCCTCCGGGTTGATCTTCTTACCAGCCAGATCACACAGAACATACGCCGCCATGGACTGTCCGAAGAGCGCGGGCATCGTGCCCAACACGGGGATCACCCGGATGCGGAAGTTCTCTACATTGCCAAACTGCTCGGGATTCTGCGCCTGCTCAGCATCTAAAGGCAGCAGCTTACACACGCTCTTCTCACTCGAGAAAATAGTCGTGATCTCCGACGACGAAATCCCCTTCTTCTTTAAGAAGTACCGGATCTTCGTCGCAAGCGGGTCACCTATCACATAATAACAAAAATACATGAGCGTTTGCTACAACTCAGTCACACCGCAGTGTTACGTACGAACAGCGTCCTTTAACGATCCAATCTGCAGACGAGTTGGGTCAGCCTTGGCACCAGCTCCAGTCGCTGTGATAACTTTGAGTCCCTTGCGAGTCACAGCCTCAAGCAGCGCACATTTGGTCTTAACGTCGTCAATGCAGTCCAGCACGTACGTGGGGTTGCCTTCCAGCAGTTCGTCGGCGCTGTTTGCCTCGAACATGACGGCCATGTCCTCGACCTCGCAGTCCGGCACGATCTCATGCAAGTGGCGCTTCATGGCTGTGACTTTGGACAGCCCTACGTCACCGCGGGTGGCCACAGCGTGGCGGTTCAGTGAAGACAGCGTGACATTGTCAAAGTCGATGAGCCGAAGCTTGCCGACGCCTGAGCGCGCCAACATGTGCGCAGCGTGGGATCCAACACCACCGAGCCCCACAACCACCACGAACGCGTCCTTAACCTTAGCGAAGCCCTCGGGCCCAAAGAAGGCGGAAATGCGGGACAGTTGCTCCTCCAGCAACTCCTGCGCAGAAGCATCCGTTCCGCGCGGCGTCGTTACAGCCGATTTCGACAGATAAGAGCTGCGCTTGAGCGCAACTTGGTACACGTATTGCGCCGCAATTGTAGCCGCCACGCCGACGCCGAACGCAGCCGCGAGTTGGCCGCTGCCCACCGTCTTGACCATCACTTGAGTATCAGTTTCTAGTGGCTAAAAAACACTGGTTTGGATTGACTACCTGGTAGTGTTTGTAAAGTCAATAACTTTTATTGCAATCTTAAAAAAAAATTAAAAGACGACGAAAAGACAAAGCCCGGGGTTGTTGACTTAGTAGCTCTGGTGCTTCTGTTGCTTAGGCGGTTGAGCTGCAACTAGTTGCTCGACGTTTTTCTTTAGGTATTGCTGCATATTTAAAAAAAAAAGTGTTGTGAGAATCACGTAAGCGTCTAGAACAATATCTCTAAATATTGTAACTCCTTACCAAGTCCTTCATGCGCCCAAACAGCTCCGATTCTAAGCATTCGATCTGTAATTAAGATCAACCAATGTGGTAAAGATCGTTATTCCGCACAGTAGCCAAAGCAATATTTCAAGTCTTTGGTCGTGGTGGGCTCACCAGGTCCGAGATACAGCGACACATCATCGGGTCTGGCTCCGTTGGTTCCTTGAACGCACTCGCTTTAGTCTTCCGCCCACCACCGCTTACATCTTGACGAGAATTTGAACGTCGTAGTGAATTTTTTTTAAGAGTAGCCTTTATGTGAGAGGCTTTCATATCAACGCAACCGATACATTCTTCAAGTTTCGTGGAGGCAAGCTTTGCTCTCAGGGTGCTGCTGAATGATTGCCTTATCAACGAAGTGTCAGAGTCACCTCAAGGTGATAGTGATTGAGCTAAATCGTAACAGTGCTGGCTCACCGAACAACTTGCAGAGTAGAATCCATAAAGTCGAGCTCTCCTTCTTCATCTGGGGTTGTGTCCGCATTTTGGTCACCAAGGGCCACATTCGACGAAAATTCACTATTTCGCGAGCTTTCAACTTCGCCCAGGTCCAATACGTATCTATCGATGTAACCCTCCGGAGGCGTCTTCAGCGAATTCTAAGGAGAAGACGGAGAGTTCAATTTACCACACTGGAGTGAAGAATTGTTGCATTAATACTCAATTGCAGGAAACCTACCGAATCCTTTGGGATAAGGTTTGTATTGCTGAACTTCGAATCGGAATCTGACAGACGTAATGCCTCCTGGCGGCGCTCAAAACCATGGTACGAACGAACGGCATCAGGATAAGTTCGGTGAACGTAATCGTGGATCCAGTGCAAAAACTCAAAATGCTCCTGAAAGATGCCCTGAACAAGTTTTCGAATGGGAATCTCCTGCAATGTGATGAGAGGTTCCATTTAGAAGTCTACAATCTATGAAATTAATCCAGCGAAGCGTGCACCTTTCGGATGTCGCAAACGTGAAAGGTACGCCGAAGTACCTTCAAATTGTGCTCGTACTCCATCTCGGTTCTAGCGTGAAAGTTTAGCCGCTGCAAATTGACTTTGCCAGGGTACAAGGCGTCGAAGATCTGGCAATACGCGATACCGTCTGCGAGATGTTCAATCTGCATAGCCACGAGAATCAATTTCGCATTCCGTAAACGTGCACGTGTCGGACGAAGGTTTATTTTTCCCAGAGCTTTCGTACCTTGGTATAGTCTGTCTGGAGGAACTCGTTGAGCCATGCAAGAAGTTCCAAACGGCCGATACCTCGCCATTTTAGCTTCCGCAGGCTCATTTCAATCAGCTCAACTTCCAACTGTCGTCATTGTCAATTTTATCGCATGCTATTTCCGTCATCACATCTTAGCGTGTTTGAACACTTTAGTAAATGAATTTCTCATTGTTGACCTCGTTTCACATGTCAACTATGCATCGAAGCACACTTAATGGCCTAGATTTTGAAATCAATAGGATATAGGAATTCCAAGCAGAATCAACCACCGTGTTCATTTCAAGAGTTTTGCGGCTGTTGTAGTACAGTACTAAATCAGAAAGAGTACAGCTATTTTAATAGTATTAAAGCATTTAAAAATGCTCATACAGTTCTCCTCATGCCCAGATATTTTTCTGGAACAGGATTATCCTGTCCAAAAGTGTCAAAATTTGGACAGTTGACCAAAAATAAAAACTGATTTAATAGAGCTAAGCGTTATTATAATGAAATGCTAGTGGTTTTAGCCCAAAGATTAGTTTTGTAAGCAAAATTATGCGATTTATAATTACAGTTGATAATATTTGGAAGGATTTTGTACAATTTTGGTAAAACGTGATCAGTTTTTTGGGCAAACTGTCCAAAAATTTGGACACTTTTTGGACAGGAAAACCAATTCTTCATGGTAGCTACTTCCTCCGTCCGAAAATATAAGCGGGTCCATACCAAAAAATATTATTAATCTTAATATCGCGCGTTGGGACCTATGTATTGGTTAAAAACGAAGAGCACAACAAGACGGTTCGAACCGCGGTCCTCCCGCGATATTTGGTGGTCTTAATGAAAAGTAACAGTCTACCAAGTACACCAGGTACACACCATTCCAGCTTTAACCCTTCGCCAGCACCTCAAAATGACCACCAGTGCTCCAATGAATACGCGTAAACGCAAGAATCTAACTCCGAGTGAACGGGCGGAAGTCATTGCCTTCCTACTGAAAGTCAGCATCGAACTAGAGCCTCCGATAGGTGCTATTGCGGCGTGCTCGACTAAATATGAGTGCAGTGACGACCAGATCGCCCGTCTGTGGCGCCGGGCCCTTCAAGACATCAAGAGCGGCAATGCCATTAACTACGACAGTGACAGGAAGGGCAAGAGCGGCCGGAAGACGCGGTTAACGGAGGAGTTCCGCCACGACCTCAGCCACGCTATCGAACTTACGCCATTTGAGGAACGAACTGACATTCGCACTTTAGCGAGTTCCCTCGGTATTGCCAAGTCGAGTCTTCACGATTACTTTCTTGCTGGTGCATTTCGACGTCACACCACGCGGCTAAAGCCGTTATTGTCGGATCAACATCGGGCTGATCGACTCAAGTTCGCCTACGGATTTGTACATCGGGGTCCACGCAATACGCGAGTGTTCGACAGCTTCATGAACTACGTTCACTTAGATGAAAAATGGTTCTATCTGAAGAAGGAGAACCAGCGATTCTATCTGGGAACGCACGAGGAACCTCCCCATCTTACTGTCAAAAACAAAAACTACATCGTCAAGGTCATGTTCCTAGTTGCTGTTGCGCGCCCGCGGTGGGACAGTAAGCGTCACCGGATTTGGGACGGCAAGATTGACCTATGGCCATTCGTTGTGTACGAGCCGGCCGAACGATCCAGTAAAAACCGACCGGCCGGCACACTGGAGCTAAAGACCTACAATGTCGACAAGGACGTGTACCGCCAGGCATTGTGCCGGATGGTCATACCGAGCGTCAAAGCGGTTTGGCCATCGGGCAAGCGCGTGTTTCTTCAGCATGACAATGCTAAGCCACACGTGGCTGCGGACGATCCCGAAGTGGTTGCTGCTTGTAGTGATGGTGGGTGGGATATGAGCATTAAACCACAACCAGCCAATTCTCCTGATTTCAACGTCAACGACCTCGGGTTCTTCGCGTCAATCCAATCGCTACAGCACAAGAAGAAGGCAAGAACAATTGAAGACCTGGTCAGCAACGTCGAGGAAGCCTATAGCCAGCTTGAGTATAGCACTATTGACAAAGTGTTTGTCACGCTACAGTCTGTGCTACAGGCGTCCATGAACGTCGATGGCTGTAATAAGTATCAGCTTCCGCATCTATCAAAAGAGCAGTTGCGCATGAACAACGGTCTCCTTCCACTTTCATTGACCTGCAACGACAATATTTACGACAAGGCTACGATACTTTTAAGTTCGATTGAACAGGATAAAGTAGATAATGTCCGAACTTAACCCTTATATTACCGGAGAGTACCAATGCTGGGGACCCGCTTATATTTTCGGACGGAGGAAGTACTATTTGTACGCACGTAGTGGCTACTATATTAAAAAAAAGTCGTGCTTCGCACGAAGAATTTCGAGAATGGCATGTAAACAAGAACTACTACTTAGTACAAACTGTGCAAATAGTGCAGGTGAGTGGAGTTCGAGTGATATTAATCCCTTGCAGCGATATGCTACAGCATTACCACGGGGGTTATGTCACGGAGGATCTAAAGCGTGCTTCGTTCGCGAACAAGAAGTCAGGTTACTCTGTCACCTTTTTGCTTTGGTTATCTCCTTTTCCTATCAACTGTGCGACGCTTTTGCGCGTTGTTTTTGGCTTCAACTGCGTAGGTCCTTTTCGATCTGTTTCTAGATCTAAACTGTTCGGACAGTCCTGGGAGGCTGTGGTGAGCTCAACCTCCAATGCGTGGCTTTGGAGCCTCACATCAGCTCAGCCGTTGACCACAACCTCCTTGTGATTGGGCTATGGGCAATTGCCTCAGCAAGGGTCTGAATAGGACCAACAGTGCAATATTGTACTCGAGATTTCCTTCTTGCGAAGTCCGCTCTTCCAAGTGGCGCAGGTTCTCTGAGAGTGCAATCGCTCCGCTTCCCAGCTCCAAAAATTAACAGTTGAGAATAAGTCCCTCCTGTATTCGATAGAAGACTCCAACGCGCATTTAACCGCAGAAGTTCGTCGAGCTGGCAAAATAATTGGAGCTTCGCAATTATCAATAACGCAGGTTCTGTTGCTGGTCCTTAGGCTTCTCACAGCATCTATAAGGAATTTCTTGGCACAACTAGCCGAGTGAGTAGCATCTGGTGGCGACATAAATAGAGATCTGTATAATATACACTTTGTCAACCAAATCCATCGGTGTATACAAATTCAAACCTTGAGTTGCTTTGCGGCACCATGCTATTACACGATCAGCAACATTGTGTGAGTGCCCAGGCAGTAAAAAAAAAACACAATATCACTTTCTTGTAAGGGAAAACCACTGATGGAAGAGCAAAAAACATGAGGACCACCTTTGACTTATTTTGTCCGACACAATTGTCAAGTAAGCTGAAACTGACCTCAGCCGGAGGGAGGTTCGAGAGCAAATTGCCGAGTAACTTGGCAAGATGATAGTTCAACCGAAGACTGCATAGTGCGTCCGCATCCTTGCCTTGGGCTCTTTCGTCGTAGAAGTAAACGTGATTGATATTGTTGTCGATATCCGCCACGACAAAGTTCTGTAGAATCAAATTACTATTGAAGTAATCAACAGAAGGACGAATATGACCATAATGAGGCATTGATATTCCACCGCCAAAGTCTTCTGCTTGGATCAGCATTCGGCAATACTCCAAATCTGGAGTACTATGTTCATTCCCAACTGCATCACCAGAAATGTTCACGTCAGATCTCTCTAAATCCCCATAATTAACTGATTCAGATGTTAATGTGCCATCGTGATCGTTCTCTATATCACCTTCCCCATGAACTTCATCGGTTTCAGTATTTTCGCTCGAAATGGTCTCAGAGCCATCTCTATACTTGTTGTCGCTATTAATTTCGTCGACAGTGTCTAGAATAATTAATTATGGCAAATACTGCTCTGGTGCATGCAGGGCGGCGTAGTTTTTAATGAAAGAAGAAACGAATCTTCTCTGACCAATGGCTTCGTCCAGATGCATTTTCTTTTTTAATAAAAGAGCGTCTCGTTCGTCATCGCTGATGTCGTCTTGTTGAAGTTGAATATCTAACTTCACGCAGCAATCGCACACGTCTGTTGCGGTCCTTGTTAGGCGAACGCCCGGGTAAATACAGTGGACATACTGTATAAAGCGTGAATAGCTCATAATTCGTGAAGGTTAGGTGAACACGTTTGACTTCCTCTTCATATCGAGAGTGGACGATACGCCAAGTCAGTTTGGGCTCCGTAAAGTATTGCCGCGGTCTACGATGAGGACATGGAAAACCGTCCTCGAGGATCTAAGTTTCACAGTGAGTTTTAAAGATGGCAATATCACTTTCACTGAAAGAATGCCACGGTTTGGCTCGTTCTCGACGTGTGTGTAGCGTGTCTACTCCATTTTTATTGCATCTCTTATCCTGGCCACTCGGCTTCCTCCAACAGTACAATAGCACGCACTTCACGCTCCGAAAAACCATGCTGAAGAAGCTGGTAAATCACACCTTCAGATTGCTCCCACTCGCGGCCTCCTACGCCAGTCTCCCAGCTATTCATCCCGAATTGCTGTAATCTTACCTTCACCGAGGGTCTCGACTACGCGGGCATACGCTGCCTCCTTCCTATCCACCCGTTTCTTACGTTTCCGCGGAGGTACCTGTCCCTGTGAACCACCCGAGGCCATGGTTGGGAGCTGTTGTGCTGCTTCAGGAACGAGATCTACTTGAATGACCCCTGGGTTATCTTAAATAATATTCATTTACATATTATGTAAACGGTCAAAATAAAAATAAATAATTAACTTGAGATGCGGTATTGGATGGGGGACCCCGGGGTCGGGAAAAGTTAGGGAGCACCCTCAGGCTGAGCGGAGCACCCGAGCAGAAAAAGTGTAAGCACATGGCGTTAGTAAGTTGAAGTTATTGGAACTAAAAATATCTTTTTGGCCTTAGATTTCGTGATATTTATATTTACTGCGGAGAGGACGAAAGCCCATATCGTATAACGGCCCAATATTCTACAACTAGACACCACCTACCTTCGATCCACTATGTCCGCTCTTGCGTCTGCTTCCTCGACTGAGATTGAATTATCGCCGGGTGAGGTGAATGAATAGCAGCAGTATCATCTCCCCGCGCCACCCGAAATGGAGTACGAGTCTGAAGAAGCTGCGAAGCCGCGATTCATGCTTGGACCAACGCACATCGATATAATGTGTCAATGAAAAAGTTGGCTCTAAATGGAGAAGGAAAAGTCCGCTACCCCTTGAACGAATGTGACCGGGTTGGTAAGCCGAAAAATACAAGAAAACTTAAGGATTTACACCGCCAGCGCCCAATGGTAACGTCAAAGCGCTGTGGTTGTAAAATGCGCCTAAGTATTGTGGCGGTCGATTCATCGGCTCCAACTGAACCGTGGCGTATTGTACATACAAAGGACGGTAGTCAGACCCATAACCATCCTGCTGCTTCAAACGTCCGTGTCCATGTCACCCACAGACAATGTGATACACGACGAAGGACCACTGGAGACACGTCCACGTCTGATTTAGTCTCTTTGCAGCTAAAGCTGGGGTTTCGACATCTAAAATCTACGCTACCATTATAATGGCCGATGAAGACTCTCTTGTTCTCCCATCGGATATTGCCAATACCAAGAAAGCATCACGGTTGGAGCTGTTGGCGACACAGACCAATACAGAGGCGCTGTTCTCGTTACTGGAAAAGTACAAGTTCCATTATACTTACAAAGTTGATGATTCCTCCAATAGACTGCAGTATTTACTGTGGGCTCACCCGACAACTACAAAGCTGGCTAAACAATTCATGGATATTCTCGTTCTCGACTGTACTTATAAAACTAATAAGTACGGGATGCCACTATTGAATGTGATAGTTCTTATTGGAATGAACACTATTTTACCAATAGCGCAGATATGGCTACCAGGTGAAAGCGAGCCGGATTTGTTGTGGGCTCTTAATCTCTTCTAGAAGAAAAATCGATTCCGATGCCTAGGATAATTGTTACAGATAGAGACTTGGCATGTACAAATGTTACGGAGAAAGTCTTTCCGTCCTCGAAGAAGTTGCTGTGTCAGTGGCACATCCGCCGAAACGTTCTGGTTCAAGCTCATCGGAAAATTGTCGTAGCACAAGTACCTGGAGCCTCCTCGCTGGTGATGAAAACCATGAAGGAATTGGAAGTTGACAGGTTCATGGCTAAATATGATGAAACAATTAACGCTGCTACAGAGAGTGAGTTCAATGAGGGGTGTTTGGCATTAAAAGACCTTAACAGTGACATTGACGCCTATTTAAGCCGACATTGGTGACCATACAAGACCAAATTTGTTCGCTGTTGGATAGATTCATTATGTTATTTCGGATGTGTGGATACTTCTACTGTGGGAGGTACTCATATCATGATGAAGTCCTTTCTAGATAACGCACTGGGTGATAGTGACCGTCTTTCAGCAACTTCTTCCCTGGTGGTCTAGAGCGGCTACAAATAACAGTGTGCAAGCTGCAAAAGCGATGTCCACAATCCCACAATTATTTCGCGACGATTTATATTCTGCCGTCGTGAAAAATATTTCCGTGCACGCTCTGAAGGAAACTCAGAAGTTGTGGAAAATGGCACGTAAATTGGTAGTGCAAGGTACTAGACCGAACGACTGTACTGGTACAGAGCGCCGTACTCAAGGTCGACCGTGTCTTCACGATATGGTGAAAATTATCGAATCTAGGGGCGTATTAAAGCTCTTACCAGAACAGTTCGACAGACACTGCACCTGTGCGTGGTTACCGACCGAGTGGTTGAGCCTGTTCCAAGGACTAAACGACAACGAACATGTGAACAGCCACGGCCTCACCAAGCTGGATACGGCGTTGGTGGTACACGACGCGATCCATCAGGGTTTGAATTGTCAGGACAAACTGAATTGACGACTGACGCAAACGCAAAATCGTTAACATTTCAAGAGTTTCTCGAGCAAAACACTGAAGACTTCCAAAACGCATTTCTACTACCTCGAGCATGGGGGTACGCTGGGCAGCGGGATCTGGATGACTAGTTTTCTAGTGTGGTGGTAAAATATTTTATACCGCATTTTACATGATTTAATGTTTATCAGAAACAAGGATAGTTCTATTAGATCTTCAACTTACTAACGCCATATGCTTACACTTTTCCTGCTCGGGTGCTCCGCTCAGGGTGCTCCCTAACTTTTCTCGACCCCGGGGTCCCGCCATCCGTTTCATATTAAGTGGGTCCTGGGTCATTATTATGGATAACCCTGGAATAAGCGATATCGTGGTATTTAATCCATAAAGAACATAATAAATTAAAAAAAACATATAAATTACTTGCAGTTGCATGTTGCACGAAGATGCGAGCGTCGCCGACAGAGTTAACATTCAGGTGGGTGATTCAAAAGCAATACAGGTATAAATTATTAAAGGTATTTGTTAATCCCACGCAATCAATGACTCTCAGTTTTTGTACAGTAATTTATTAAGATTTTGGGACAATCTGACCATTTAATTTACGGAGATATGTGTTTTTCAAATTCTGTAAGAGCACTGCCGAAAAGTTAGACAAAAGCTATATTTCCCTTCAGAATACAATTGTGGCCTGGCACCGGTCTGAGAAAACGTGGAGTATATTTGCCTACGGGTGATAATTGGGGGATCCCGACGTCAAATTTGACTGCTCGATCACCTCGCGGCGTATTACTAATGTAAACAGATAACCAATCAGACTCCGCATATTTGTATCAGTATGAACGCATGGTACATATACAAACGATCCTTCTCATTTATTTGACCTACCACTGTCTATATCTGCAGCCACGCCATCGGTGGCGTGGAGCACCGGGACTAAGAATGCTAAAACGTGGAATACGGAGAGGCGCTCGTTATCCCCACCTTCTCTTTCCTCCCATTCGTTGATGAAGCTCTTTGTTTCTTTTTCTAGGCTCATTGAGAAGACTGTCGCTCGTATCCCCCTCGTTTCAGTCGTGTTTTACTATGAACCGGTGCGAAATCTGCCCGTAGTAAATTTACGTTTCTAGGTTGTCGCACGCTAAACGCGGCAATTTTACTATTCATTCACTCCACCGGTGGCAGTGCTCTAAGGGTATCAATTTTACGAATTCATTCACTGAAGTATAACAAGACAATTGATGTTAAGAGGGCACGATTATAGGATCTAATATGAACTAAGCGAGGAAATCGGATCCCCGGTAGACTCTGAAATAAATTTCAGAGATCTTCTATTTTGTTTTTTATAATAATAAACATCGATCGAGCATACTGCATGCAGAACAAAAATGACTACTTGATAGAGTGTCTTACCAACTAAAGATGGGTTAACTTTATCGAGTTGCTGGTCGGCCTGACCCCTTGGGCCCTGTTGAATTGACGAGACGGGTCCTGTTTTTCGGTCAACTGTTTGTGTCCAATGTGCTTAAGAAAACGGCAATTGTTGTTTTTCCTGTATCAACTCACCACTTCAAGGAACACCGTGACAGTTAAGAGCACAGCGACGATAACAGGGCAAAGATGGCCGACGCGGCCAAACGCGCGTTATGTTATAGTAGTAAATATTTTTATCGGGTGGTAAGGTTTCAGGGGACGGTAAGGGTATTCTGCAGTTTGGGAAGGCACTCGTTGGCTAATATATTACCGTACTCGGTTCGCATGAAATTTATAACTAGGGCTGAGGCGGGGGCTGGGATAGCATCGGGTCACGGAAGCGTTATTGGCAAGAACGTTGAAAGCTCTCCTCAGCCGTTCACCGATCAAACCGCCTGGAGAATTGGGTTAAATCACGAAAAGGATAAGCAGATTTTGGAATATCAAGGTCTAAAGTAAAAATATTTGTTGCTTATCTTTTTTCCACTGTTTTACTAATGGAGCCCACGCGGATGGAAAAGTTTCTAGGACGTTTCCCACTGCGCGTTATATTCACACATTTTCTGGATAAGCAGCAGAAATAAGCTCCAGCGAGATGATGATGTCCGTAACGAGCGCCGGGTACAGCCAGCGTTTGCCGAGCAGTCCGCGGCTCAAGCGGCTCTCGCGCTGCTTCACGCGCCAGTTCTTCCATAACAGCACGCCCACGCATGTCTTCAACTGAGCAATGGCGCGGGCCTTAGTCCTGTTGCGCACTAAGAAGCTCTGAAATTTCGAGGATGACATAAACTGTAAAACTGTCCAAATATTGCAGGTAAGTTGAGATCGATGGAAGTATGGTGGTGGTACAGCCCTGGTACAAAAATGAAGGGATAGGAGAGACGTGAAAGGACGTGAAAGCGTGACGGACGTTTTTGAATACAACTTTCAAGACAAAAAATCGAAGAATAACGAATTAATCGCCTGCAAGCTGCTCTGCAGCACTTCGTACTGCTATCCCAGGAATATATCGTACTACTAGTAGCATGATGGATACTTCAGTAGTATTTTTTTGAGTCACTTCAAAGATAACCTTTTATTTTTATGCTACTAGTATTTGATCTTAAAGCTTATAAATTACCGGGATTTAATTATTTCATCAGCTCACATACATGTATCAGCTCAAATTAAATTTCAGTCGGGTGACCACTTCAGAAAGCCACTCGCCAAACGCAGCAACGTCCACGTCGCGTTCGACTTCGAAGTGCACCGTGCTAATGCCTCCTGTATGTTGCCCACGTGCCTTCACACTTCGCTTGACTCCATTAGCTGCATCGCTCTGCGCATTGAAGCACACTGCATCGAACGTCTCTGACGTTTGCCTGTGATGTTATTGTAGACCAATTTGCTGCAACAATTCCAGCGAGAAAACCTGATTTCGAGCTCTGCAGCGTCGGGCAAGAAGAGACGCAGGAATTTTGCAGACTCGGACTAGTTTTAATAACTCTATTAATAAAAATGACAAAACGATCTCGAAGTAAATTCTACTTTTATTGAAAGGGGCAGCACATAAAGACTGCCTATATAAAAGTAATCGAAGCACATTGTAAGGCATAATACACGTCATACATGGCCATAGAATACGCATTACTCAAGGAAGACACCGTACGGGTAGTCACCAGTCTGCAATGTGAACGTAGCGCAAAGCGGGTTCGCAACAGCAGTCTCGTTGTACACGTCGCAGTCGGTTTCTGGCTTGATCGCGATCACATAGTCTGTGTCCTCCGCAACCTGCTTCATGCCACTACCAATCTGCGGGTAGTACACACTCCAATCATCAGCCGTAAGCGTGAAACTCACAGTCTGAGTCTGTCCAGGTTCCAAGCTGATCTTCGAGAACTTCTTCAACTGTTTCACCTCAGGTACTGAGATCGAACGGTACGGTTGTGTGAGGAATAGCATCACAGTCTCCTTGCCAGACACACTACCAGAGTTCGCGACGGTGACAGACACGTCGATGGAGTCGGAGCTGGAGGTGACGTTGGCCTTACTGAGAGTGAGGTCGGAGTAGGTGAATTCGGTGTAGCTGAGACCGGTACCGAAGTCCCACTGCATTTCGCAGTACTCGGAGTCGGCGCATTGAGTCGTAACACGGTGGTTGTAAGGCATCAGGACGTTGCCAGAGTCCTTCGGGTAGGTGATTGGCAAGCGTCCACTGGGGTTCACCTGACCATAAATGATCTCGGCCATCGCCTTACCACCCTGTTCACAAGCGAGCAGACCGTGCACCACGGCGTGGACGTTCTCCGGGAGATCACCAAGCAGACGCGGGCGGCCTTCGAAGAGGACAACAATCACCTTGGTTTCAGTAGAAGCGAGTTCCTTGACGTACTCAATCTGGCCAGCAGGAAGAGCAAGGTCGTCAATGTCACCAGTCTTCTCGGCGTAAGGGTGTTCACCAATAACAGCAACCGTGTACTCGGCCTGACTGGCGTATTCCTTTGCAGTTGTCATATTGACGTCTGAGTAGTTTCCGTTCACATCCAAACCATTGAAGTAGGTCACCTTGTCGCCACCAATAAACTCCATGCCTTCCTTGACCGAAATGCCGTTAGGGAAGTTTTCGTTGCCGGTGTAACCAGGCCAACTAACGCTCCAGCCACCGCATTGGTTGCCGATATTGTGGGCCGAGTGGCCGGTCAGGAGCACGGAAGACGAAGTGGAAATTGGCAGCGTGCTGTCGTTGTTCTGGAGCAGCACAATGGACTCGCGAGCCATCTCCAAAGACTTCTCAACGTCGGCATCGTTGCGAACCTTGGCAACGTCATCGGCTCCGGGAATGGGGGAGTCGAATAGACCCAATTGCAGCTTGGTCTTGATGATGCGCTTCGCGGATTCCTTAAGACGGTTAAGGTATTCGGGGTTCTGTTCGAGCAAGAGCTTCGTGCTGTTCAAGTACACGTCAGCAACTCCCATGCTCATGTCGATTCCCGTGTGCACGTATGACATACGAACGGCCTCGTCAACAGTGCGTGCAACGCGGTGGAACGAGTTGAGAGACCCCATCTCACCGAAATCGGTGACGGCAAGTCCGTCGAAGGCAAGGTCCTCACGCAGCAGTTGCTGGAGAATCTTATGGTTGCCAATAGTGGGGATCCCGTTAATGGAAATGTAGTTTTCCATGGTCGTCAACACTCCAGCGTCAATAGCGGCCTTGAACGGCCTCACAAAATAGTTGAGCAGATCGAAGTCAGAGATTGCAACGCCATCTTTATCGTGACCCGTGGGGGATTTCGAGTAGGCCACAAAGTGCTTCATGCACGCTGCAGTCTGGTTGTTGCTTTGCAGCCCGCGAATGACAGCATCGGCCATCACGGATACGAGGTGAGGATCCTCACCAAAGGTTTCGTAGGTGCGTGGCCACAACGGGTTGCTTGATATCTCGAGGATAGGTCCAAAGACCCAGGGGATTCCAGCAGCTTGGGTGTCCTGGCCAGTGACGCGACCCATTTCGTAGACCAAGTCGGGGTTGAACGTAGCAGCACCGTTGATCTGAGCACCAAATAGTGTCGTGTTCAAAATGAAACCAGCACCGTGGACCGAGTCAATGCCGTATATCATGGGGATGCCGTCGTTCTCTTCCATGACGATCTCTTGGATGCGAGTGATGATATCACGCCACTCTGCAACGTTCCATCCGACTGCACCGGTAAGTTCGTTGGGGCCGTTCGTGAACGGCGTGGTCAAAAATGACCCCACGTGAAGCTTGGCGTAGTAGCGCACGAGGTCCTCGTTCAGTGAGTAGTCTTCATTCAGGACAGAGAAGATGGCAACCTGGGCCAGTTGGCCGACGACTTGGCTGTCGGTGAAGCTGTCGACAATGGAGTTGGCACGGGCATCGAGGTCGTCGGCAGACGTAGCCACAATCCCCACCGCGGCGCAGCAAATTGCGAGAAGCCACTTCGTGAGCATGGCTGGCTTGGAGTTTCTTGTGCTCTTGATGGTGAGTTTGGAAATGAGCTATCGAAAAGCAAATCAAGCAAGTCCTGAAGCTCAACGCTGCTCGGAAGCCACCACTCCTCGACTGGGGGAGGTCCACGAAGAAACGTGATGGTGCATTGCTTCGTATTTACCGTTTACGTGCGCATGACGTCGCGCCAGCAACCGTACCAGGCTACAATCTGTAGCGAAGAGTAGACTCAGCCGAATTGCTTCAACTTCGCAGCGTTATGCACGGGGTCGACTAGAGTGATTATGGTGTTAGTAGGGACGCGTAGGCATTCCAAGCCTGAGGCCAGGTTGCCTAGTGAACAGATAAGTTCATGTTGCCTATAATGTTGTCGAGGAACTACAGGATGCAGTACCGGAGCTAGTAGGCCACGCAAATACGATATTCTGCGATGCTTCCACGATACATGTACAAGCTGAAGACTGAAGACAAATTAACGTTAATCTGCGTGCTGCTTGGAGAAAGTCTGTTTCGCAAGTCGACAGGGAAACGCATCCATGCCCGCAAGTCCATGTTATACTCGCTCAAATACTGAAATTCAAGACAGCTGCGGACATCTTCAACATGCCGGCTACAGCAATGCTGCGCAAAGGGATCACGGCAATGGAGTGCATTGCATAACCTTACTGTGATCCTATATATTCACCAAGGATCGTTTTCTTGAATGGAGCTCACTGATGATTAGAAAGTGACCAACCACTGGAATTCTTGATGGCCTTCAACCACGCTATCCTCGACGCTCCAGCACCAGGTGAATCGATTTCTCATACTTAGTAAGTCGTCCTTCAACACGCGTTGTATTCGAGTATATTTATGTTAGGAATTCTACGGGTGCATGCAGCATACAGCATACTACTAGTATGCCATGAGCTTTATGCGCAGCTCATTCTCACATCATGTAGATCCGCGTGCAGTCGCTTGACGCTGCCGACCATAGTGACGGACACGATTCGAACTGGCACATTTCCACTGCAGGAACGATCTCAACATTAGAAACTGCATGTTGCGTCTGTGCAATTCTTTTGTTGTGATGGTCAATGATTGCTCCGTCTCCTTGAGATCCAACTGAAGCTTGCGTTGCTTTTGCATCGCTCCTCTCAACGACCCCACGGCGTCTTCCAGTAACTCAATGTTGGAGTCATTGAGTCTTTGTCGAGACTTTTCTGTCCCTGTCATTGAGCTGCTTGCACTTGTTGCACCGGGTGCCGCACTAGCTGATAGGAAGTTCACTTTCTTGGAAAAAACTGTCTTGTCATTAGCCTTGCGAACGGAATTGGGACCGAGAGTCTGACTGAGTTTATTCACTGAACGAGGAAGTCCCAGTGAGTTGAGACCCTCTACAATTCCCTTAGAAGCGGAAAGCAAGTCGCGCGACTGGAACACTTGAGCTCTCGCAGAAGGCGAAAGTGCCTTATACGCAGTGGCAAAGTCCCACGCGGCTTCCACAACATGTTGTTGACAGGCAGAGCGGCGCTCCATTTCCTCGATAAGGCGCTGATTTAAGCCCACTAAGTCCTTTAGCTCGGCACACTTCCGTTGTACCGACTTTAGTTGGTTGTTTCGTTCAGTATACTCGGCGATTTTACGATCCACCGCCACTTTCCAACTCGCCACCTTTGTGTTAATTTCTACCAAGTAACCGGTTAGCTCATCGGCTCCATGAGTATGTGAGGACTTCACTCGCTCGTTAGCTCCATTCTTTCGTGCAGGTTCGCAGAACTTACGAACTAGTTGAATACAATTGGCCAAAGCCATTGTCGTAGTTGGCGAAAACGAAGCTCGAAGGAGGTCATTCGCGCTGGCATCTAATTTTGCTTGGTACTTTCGTACTCGAGCTTGATATTTCCACTTCGCGAAGCATTGAGTCTGTTGACTTAGCAATAGTTTCTTTGCAAGCTGTCGTGCAAACACAACACCGAGATATTGCAGCTTGTGGAGTTGTTGGTTCTCCAATTTGGCTTTCAACTTGTGCCAAGATTGAAGGTGAGTGATCTTCTTCAGTTGATCGATTGTACTGGAAGCCTCCTGCAATTGTGCAGCAAGACGAAAGCTCTCTTGCTCGCATGAGTTTGTCACCAAGCACTGCACGAAATACTTCCACTTCCAATGCTTTAATTCTCTCTCCAGAGTTTCAATTACCTCTGCTGCTTCGCCGTCGTCACGTCCAATAGCTTCTAGCCACTCTGGATGTGAAGCCGACATGGTAAAGGCTGAGGTACTGTTGCTTAAGAAATTTTCTTCCTGCACAACAATTTGTGGTGAAGCTGGTTTCGGAACGATCCGACATTCGCCTTCATCCGACGATGAGTCTTTCTCTCTTGCAGATTCTTTGCGCTTTGCTAGTTGAGACTGTAGTGTGTGATATCGTTTCTCCACTATACTTAACTTCCCCAAAGTGACTGTAACTCGCTCTGCAAGCCGACAGAATGTGCGCTCTGTTCCTCGTTGACACGCCATAAGCATTTCACGGAATGCTCGCTGTTGCAGCTCTGGACGTGCTTGCAATGTTTGGACCAGTTTAACAAGTGCCTTCTTCTCTTGCTCTATGACACGACGCTCTCGCTCCATTGTTTGATGCTGTTCAGTCAAAGAATCGATCTCTTCTTTAAGAGCGGCTTCATCCTCGAATCTTTCTTGAGTCTTTGCTTCACGATCAGCATGCAGTTCCTCGACCATTCGTTGCAGACTATACTGCTCTTCCGATAGACTTTGTACATCGTTCTCCAACTGCTGCTTGTCTTCACTTAGCGTGTTGCACTTGTTCATCCACATGAGCATAGTTGTCTTGGATTCTGCCAGCTCTTGGGATAAATTCTTGACGCGTTCGCAGTTCTCTTGCTGCGTAGTGTTTAGAGCTGCTTTATCGTTCTTCAGTTCCTGCTCAAGAGACAAATATTGCTGCCTCACAACGTCCAATTCGTGTTGTATCCGATTAACCTTCATATTGTGTTGAGTTGTCTCAGCTTTGTTAACCTTATTAGCCTCCGATAAGGCTTGCTCCATTTTATCACACTCAGACTTGGTCGACGATAGCTGTTGTTTTAACGATTCAATCTTCTCCTGAGTCTGCTTTAACTCAGTCAACTGTAGTGCTGAAGCCCCTCTCTCCACCTTTTGCAAACTTGTCAGGAGTTCATTTCCCTGTTTTAACTCCTCAAATCCATTTTCAAGACGTTGATTCTTCCTCTTGAACTCATCAAGTGTTTGCATCAACCTCTCGATTTCACCCGCTGATCTGCGCTTCTCCACCTCAAGATCGTCGTAACCGCGCTGTAATTCAGATAACTGTACTCTTAGATCAGCAATTA